TGACCTGTGCCGCTTGACTGAGCATTTACACAGATCTATGTACACCTAAGATTCCTTCAACTCCATATGCCACCAATGACAGCCAGAGTAATTTATGAATGTCCTGAGGCCTGTCTTATTTCAGACTACAGTTATGTCCCAGTTGACCAGTCCAGGCCTGGAGAACATTGTGATGATTTCAGGCAACCAGCCTATGCATACATCTATACAGTGCAGAGCTAGCCAAGGCCTTGATTAATGCCAGCTGCCTCACTCTTGCTTTACACTATGACAACAGATATGCCAATGCATCACCTGCTACTTCATTGTCGCTATACCCCTTGCCAGCCTACCCGCTAGTTGCTTGATGGATGTATTTGCCTGCCGGCTAACCATGCCAGTCCTCTCCTTGGTGATACATACCTTCAAACTGATCCCTCTCACCATGCCCTGTATTATTGGCAGTGGATACCAAAACATCATGTCATATCCTGATGGCACTTTGCCTATAAGAGCAGAGTATACCGTGAGACAGAGTAAGAAAGTTGTCTTTACTGCCCAGTTCTCATTTTATCTTCACTAAGCAACAGATGTCAAGACTTCTACAGGTCTCCACTCCACACCTCCCAATTAAACAGAAGGTAAGGAAAGACTAACGTTTTACTGGATGGTCTGGATATCTTCACACTGCTGCATCTTAAACATCTGTACAACTACTGATGGTATTTCTTAATAGCAGCAAAGGCCAAGCCTATTTATAGTCATCATTTCTGACAAATTCAACCTAAATTCTAATGAATTGGAATAGAAAATGTAGATTATAAACATTTTTAAATGCACTAAAGTAATATTGTAATAACCTCAAGTATGCCAAGCTTTGTAACCCTAGTCAATTGGGCAACAATGATGTTTGCGGTAGAGGGGCTCAAAAATAGAAAGAGAGAACATGTATTCTTTTCTATAGGTATTTATTTCCATGTTGATGGAACAATAAGGTTTTCATTGGATTCTTAAACTTTCCGATTACAATTCTCAGAGGATCTGACAGGTGTAACTCTAATCTATATGGTGACAAAACACTTTCTGAAGCTATGTTAAGGGAGAGCAACAATTACCTACCATAGAACACCATACACTCAACTATCACAGGAGGATTACTTGCTAGCTAGTTAAATCCCCAGAGAGATTAGCCTTTTACAGTATCATTAATAGAATGTGAAGACATTGATACTGCAGAATGAAAGCAAATAGATTTGTTTTACTAACAGCAATGGCTCTAATGATTCTAAATATTAAGAATTTAAGATAAAAAAAGGACATTTTATACTGCAGCCACAAGGGCTTTAACATTTCCTAACTTCCTGCTATTTTCTGTATTTAGAGATAAGGAAATAGCAGCTGATATGTCTGCATATTGCGACGTTCCAGTCTGTAGGTTGCAGGTTGAATGTTCGCCTACAGTCAGTTGCAAATTGAATTAAATGCAGGTCAGAATAACCAGGATCCTTCAGATTGGGGTCAACGAGGAACTCCTACTGAATTATAAGCACAAATAAAAAAACGTGATGAAAGTAATTTAAAGGGACACTATAGTCACCAGAACAACTACAGCTTATTGAATTTGTTCTGGTGTGTAGAATCATTCCCTTCAGGCCTTTTGCTGTAAACACTGTCTTTTCAGAGAAAAAGCAGTGTTTACATTACAGCCTAGTGATAACTTCACTGGCCACTCCTCAGATGGCTGTTAGAGATCCTTCCTGGGTCATGGCTGCCTAAAATGCATCCAATCATTCAGTATCTCTTCCCTCTGCATGCAGACACTGAACTTTCCTCATAGAGGTTCATTGATTTAATTAATTAATTAATTAATTAATTGACCAGGACTGTGTTTGAATCATGCTGGCTCTGCCCCTGATCTGCCTCTTTGTCAGGCTCAGCCAATCCTATGGGGAAGCATTGTGATTGGATCAGGCCACCACATCTGATGATGTCCGCAGACTGCTTGTTTTTTTTTTTTAGGGGAAACAGCATGCAGCTCTACAGCTTCTGGCTTGAATACAGTAAGATGTTGCTATATTTATGGAGGCATGAGGGGCCCAGGGGGGCTAGATGGTAGTTTTAACACTATAGGGTCAGGAATACATGTTTGTGTTCCTGACCCTATAGTGATCCTTTAAGAACACTCACACTAATGAACAGAATCTGAACTATGTACACTAAGCAAAAAAAGTTCTACAGCAGGCACGTGGATAGCTAAAAAGCTGTCAGTTAAGGACAAATGATAGTGGTCGCTTTTTCCAAACAGCATCCATGTCTCTTACCCTTACCAATAAACACACACTCACATCACTCACTGACACACACTCACTGACAGTGTGCACTGGCTCATGCCAAAGGAATTAAAATAGCATAAAGGCGAGAACCTTCAGCCTAATGCAAGTAAATAATCTCCTGTCCCCATCTTCTACAAGGTCAGTGCTGGTTGAGTGTGAAATTAACCACAGACAACCTGAAGAACCAAATTATTTCAAAAACCTGTAATCTTCAAAAGCCAACCGTACTAAAAAAAAATAAATAAATAGGAGACATCTAGTTCTTGTTTTGATGGAGCTATAGGAAGATGTTATCACTGTCCCTTTCATATCATCTATATCAAAATATTGCTGCACAAGAAATTAACTAGGTGTAAAAGAAAATTCTGGGGCAAAGTTCTAAAAGTAATGGCACCAGCAGAAACATTCCATTAGTATCCTTGGTGATTGCCGCACTTATAATACCTTCCATCAGATCTGAACTTTTAATATAACGCCTTCCCCCCAGGGCAGATTTAAACAGCACAACAAAATGACCGTTTTCTGTGCTCCCGCATTTACCAAAATAGCACAAACCGTAAGGCTCCAAATCAATAAAACAAATAGTTTTCACTGCAGAGTTGTTAGAGCGAAATGCTGCTAATATAATTACAGTTGTTACTATATAGGCTATAGCAGGATTTTCTGAGTGAAAATAAGCTCCGGGCAAGACTACTCCTACAATAAATGAGTAAAAACAGGAAGCAAAAGCAGTGGTAGAAGCACTTTATACATGACAGCAATGGATTTTAACTGCCCTGACATCTCTTTAACCCCTTAAGGACACATGACATGTGTGGCATGTCATGATTCCCTTTTATTCCAGAAGTTTGGTCCTTAAGGGGTTAAGTGATTATTCCATGTTTAGGGCAAAGGTCAACATGTGTTTCTTAACCATTATAAGAATACATTACTGAGGCAGCAAGAACTCAATAGTTAATAAGAGATACACAATATATATTACAAAATTTAAAAAAATTATAAAAATGTAAGGCCAAATAATATAAATAGCATCCTCAGGCTTAGAGACTTCTAAACTCAACACAAGTACACAGATACTCTCACAAATAGCAAAAACATATGCTTGTTTGCCGTCTGTACAAAGGTAATACATCATACCTAAATGAACTTTGAGGATGAGTAAGGGTTGTATTCTATGTGATTTAAGTCTTCAGCTATATCTATCACATCCCCAGCAAACCTTTACCATCACCTATCAGCATCAAATAATTGGCAGGAGATGCATTCTTTAAAATGATTGGACTTAATAACTCAATAACTTAAAAACAAAATGAAAAAGTAAAATTGGAATATCTAAACACACATTGTTCCTACTTGATTGGACAAATCTGGTAGGTTGTATGCACACACAAAAATCCATTAGTGATATATTTAATCTATGTAAAATTCAAACAGATTCGCTGTTTTCTTCTTTCGGTTTGTCAAAAAGCACTGTGAACCCAACCAGGACCTGGCAAATAAATGTTTTAGACATCATTTTATATGACGCCAGCACTTGGAGGAAAATTATTGCTATTATAAATATTTAATAACATTGGACATCAGTCTCCTGGCAGATGGTTTCAGGGACTTACACTAAAACAGATGAGTGAAGAACAGCCCTCAATGCCTACAGTCAAGTGATGTACATCTTGTTTTATAGAAAGACACATGCTTGGAGGAGCTAGAATTTATGAGAATATGTCCTCAATTTGCTTGTCTAAAATGTATCTGATATTCGCAAATAATAATTAGTCATATCTGGCTACACCAGATATGAATAATCTTGACATCACCATGTTTTAAACTACATAATTTTTTAGAATGTACAGGCAGATTTACGGTTGGGTATCCTATAAAATATAATTCAGAAACATTTAGATTACCCGGATTAGTAATCAATATCATAGGCAGTTATAGTTATGGATAAATATGTATCCATGCCATTGTTAGTTATCAGTGAGCTATACCATATGGATAGAGCTGTAGAATCCACATCATTAATGCCCATGGTGTTTCTGTTACATCACTTGTAACATAGTTAAAATGCAGCTGTTGAGACTATCATATGAAGGCAAACAATGGTTTGTAAAGTCATGTACTTAGTATTTACATACAATAACGATTTTATATGATCCATCACTGACTACTTCAATGTAGTGTGCTGGGCTTCCAGTTTGAAGGGAATGTGCATTGTGCACCATTTTAACATTCAAAGTGCCAGGAAGCAGTGATTTTTGAGACACACAGAGATAATCTGATTGTAAACAGGTTTAATTGTAGGCTTGTTGTCAACTAAGCTAATAAGGTGAGCACAATGACAGTGATAATAATCACTATTATAATTAAAAATTATAATATGCAAAACAAGAACTAAATTAATATAACCCACAACAATGGAATCCCTACAGGAGGAGACCATGACTGATAGATGTGTCTGCAGAGAGACAGAGGGCTACAAGGGAAAGTCAACGTGCCCTGTAAATAGTATTAGGCCTAGTGTATGATCTCCAGCCCTCACTCAGGTTGAGTGTTGGCTGAGTGGATGCCCAAGTTGGACATCACATGCTTGTAGCAGGTCAGCTATTTTTCAGCTGCAGAACAGGTGCAGTCCTAGCCCACTCCCAGCTCACACAATGTATCACTCAGTCCAGCTCAGCGTTCTATATTCTACAAAGTAACTCTGCCTACCTTTGACACTAGAATTCCATTCTGGCTGGCAGTGGCCAGGTCTCTCATGCTGGGGGTGCAGGAGGCATTGCTGGGGGCAGTAGACAGACCCCCTGCTGCAGAACATCCTGGGCTGGCACAGTTGCTGCTGTGATTGTTGCTGTTATTGCTGCTGCTGTGATGTCCTGTGGCCGTGGGGCTTCCTGTAGGGCTACTCCGGGGTCTCTGACGGATGCCATCCAACAACCTGACAAGTAGGATGTTAGCCGGCAAGTCATCCACTCCACAATCCACCAGGATGCGGCACTCCGGGCAGCGCAGCTCGTTCCTGGAGCTGACTATGCTCTGCAGACAGCGCCGGCAGAAGGTGTGCTGACAGGGGAGAACCCGGGCTGTCGTATCCAGCCTCTCCAGGCACACAGAGCACTCCAGCAGATCCAGCAAGGAGGACTCATCCATCTCTTCTCCACCACCACCACCACCACCACTGCCCCCTTCCCTCCTGCCTCTCCTCTCCCTTCTCCTTTCCTCCTCCTCCCCCTTGGATGGTCTCTGTGGTCCTTTGGAGGTACACAACCAGGATGCCCCGAGGAGCATGTAGGACAGCTGCCTGGGTCAGACACCCAGCAGGGTATCTAAACAGGGGTGTGAAAGGGGGGTGCAAGCCATGAAATATTCACTGAGAGTAGCTGGAATGCCCTCCGTAATATCCTGCTCCACTCTGTGATTCACAGGGGCAGGAGAAGTTTCCAGGAAACGTTCCTTTTTAGTACAGTTATCCACAGTGTGCAATCCTCAGCAGTCCTCCCATGTATAGCAGCCTCAAACTTTGAGCAAATTGGCAGAATAAAACTTACTCCATGCCCACAGCCTCAATGACTTGTTAGCAGGGGAGCTGTCATAGGCTCGTCCATATCCACTGTATGGAAATGAAATCACTGGTGGGAGACCAATAGCAAACAAGAAAATGATAATAATAATAATAATAAATAAATCCCAAAGTGTGTTCAGGGGTTGAGAGGAAAGTCCAGGCTCAGCAGAGAGAAGAAAGGAGATATCCCAATCTGTTAGATCCTTCAAAGACTTGTTAGCTGAAGAGCTGTCATAAGCTGGTCCAGAAACACTGTACGGGAATGCAATCACTGATAGCTGATCAATTAAAAAAAAAAAAAATCCAAAGTGTGTGCAGGGGGTCAGAGGGAAGTCCAGGATCAGCAGAGAAAAGAAAGAAGCTATGCCAGTATGTTGGAACCTTCATATGACCTGTCCCTAACCCCTTCTGCTGCTATTGCAGTCTTGAGCTTGCTTGGCAGCTCCATAGTGAGCACTGTAACCTGATCAGGCTCAGCCTGGGAGAGTTGGTGTAGGAGGAGCTGCCTGTCTCTCCTCTCCCCTCTCTGTACTGTGTGTTTGATTGTGAATGTGTGTGTGTGTGTGTGTGTGTGTGTGTACGGTGTACCCAGCAAGTATGGCAGACTGCATGAGCAAGCTGCACAGAGCTGGGCAAGAGCTACTGCGAAACGTTAATCCTTAGTGCCAGATGTTTCTGCTCCGGACACCACAGAGAATTAGTGTATATCTGCACTGGATATGAGCTAAGAGATTTAGAGTGGAACACGATTAAACAAATAAAGGCTACACGCTATTATTATTTTGTAAATACTACAAAAAGAACTGGAGAGGTGTGAAATGCTACAAGGCATCAGAAATACAATTAAATATATCTGCTGCATCCCCCACCCCTCCTTCCAAATACCCTTCTATTCTATCTGCTGAGCTATCTGTGACCAAATGGAAACACTGCTATGAGCAAAACTGGTTAGCCTAAGGAGGTCAGTTCCTTGTTAACCAGAGGAATGGATATAGATGGATGTTTGTCTGTGATCAAGAAATCCCTAAAGTAATGCAAATCCGTTATCATTAATGGTTAGCTATGCCTATAGGTAATTACCTTTCAATGATGCTCAATTGTATATGTTTGTTTTAATTTAATTTAAGTATTTTTTTTTTTTTTGTACGTAGTGTAACATATTCAAAGCACGGGATGCATAGCGAGCATATTTGTTTAAGGTTAAATAATATTTTATTACTATTAGCATTATATATATTCAATATTTTCCGTAGCACTTTCTAATTTTACAATCCGGTGCAAGTAGCAAATAAGAAACAAACGAGTTCATATGAAAATGCAGGTGAAGATTTGTATACAGAAAGCTATTATCGAATACCCGCCCCCAAAAAATCATTTAAGTTTTCAAAGTTTTATTGTTTATTTATTAATTTTTCAGCCTTGCATAAATAGCGATTGTGGCATTAAAGTTTTAGACATTATCCAGCACGCTTTGTCTCTAGAGTCAAGCAAGTTCGGAAATAGCAGAATTTATTGTAGTTTACAAACACATTACAGTGAGTATTATCGCTGTGGAGCTCTGTTATAGACTCAGGCATACTAATAATGTGGAGCTCCTTGAAAACATTAGGATAGAAAAGAGGGGCAGATGGATTTGGTCCAAAATGATGACTGTCCCTCCTAAACAGGAACTGCTGGGAGTTAAAGGGACATTATAGGAAGCTAGACCTCTTTGTTGTTCTGCAACGTTTTTGAGAAACTGCAATGATTACTTTGCAGGAGTAAGATTGCCTCTAGTGACTGTCTATCAGACAGCCACTAGCGGTACTTCCTGGATTTTAATGGAATTTGACTCTGTTAAATGACACTAGGCGTCCACCCACTCTGCACGAGGAAATGCAGCAACAGTCAAAACACATAGAAAAGCATTGATGCAATGCTTTCCTATGGAGAGCGTCTAATGCATTCACCCCTTATGCGCAATAGCTCCCCCGTCGGAAGGACGTTGGAGGAGGCGGAGTGCCGACCCCTCACCGAGGGACATCAGAGTTTTAACTATTTATGTGCACAGGGGGGCCACGAGGGAGGAAGAGGGACTGACCAGAGTTTCAGTGGAGATCTTAGCACAAAGGAGAATGTAAGAAGTTTAACATACTATACATTGGATTTGGAGGAAATTGATTAATAAGGTGACAAAAGCTCTATATACAAGTTAAATGATCCAAGTACCGTTGTTGCTGAGAAATAGTAGCTATATCTTTACTTCAGGACATTTCTCAAAATTAATAAAAGCTAAATGTTTCCTTCCTGGTGTAATTATTTGCTAGTGTTATTAAAGGAACACTCTAAAGTAAAAAATACAAACCACTTTTTCTAACGTAAAAGTGTTCTAGTGTCTACTGCACACCTTCCCACCCCTGGCACATTTAACAAAAAAAACTTTGCCGCGCCTTTCTTCCCTCACCGTGCCGGTCTCTGTGTGAGATCATCTTTAGCGATTGGTCGTTCTTTCTCTCAGTGTGCGTTCAGTGTGAGTGTAAAATTCTGCAAGAACATTCTCCTGGTTACCATGGTGAATGCTCCACTTCTAGGACTGCTGTTTCTATATAATTCCATTATTATAACGTTTTCTGTGAGAATGGTTATTCTAATATCTCTGTATTGTGATTGATCTGTGCTGCAAAAATACTGCGTGTTTTTTTTCCTGCTGTGTTGAGATCATTTGTCAGAGGCAAACAACTTTTTGTGATATACAAACAGCTGTTGTTGAATGCACAAAAATGTGAAAATGTTACAGTGTTGAATAAAGGGACATTTCAAGCATCCTAGCAAGGTATGCTCCTATCAAAGGCTATAAAGGAAGGAGTGTCCACACACCTGTAAATCATTTTGCCATGCCATAGTGCTAATGTAAGGTGCTTTGGGTATTTGCCACTAAGAGTCAACATCCATGTGGTATGCCTTATAACAAAAGATTTAGGTAGGTGATGAAAACCCATTAAGCACCACCTACCTACCACCTACCACCTATTTCAACTGTCAAAAGTAAAGACAAATAAGTCAATGGGACCTGATGGAATACACCCAAAGCTATTAAAAGAGCTTAGTGGTGTACCAGCAAAACCATTAACAGATTTATTTAACCAATCATTGTTAACAAGAGTAGTAGTTGGAAGTTAGCGAATGTTGTGCCCATTTACAAGAAAGGTAATAGGGAGGAATCGGACAACTATAGGCCAGTAAGCCTTACTTCAGTAGTGGGGAAAGTGATGGAAACCATGTTAAAGGATAGGATTGTTGAACATCTAAAAACACATGGATTTCAAGATCAGAGACAACATGGGTTTACTTCAGGGAGATCATGCCAAACTAATCTTATTGATTTTTTTGATTGGGTAACTAAAATTATAGATCAGGGTGGTGCAGTAGATATTGCTTACCTAGATTTCAGTAAGGCTTTTGACACTGTTGCACATAGAAGGCTTATCAATAAACTGCAATCTTTAAGTTTGGATTCCAATATTGTTGAATGGGTAAGGCAGTGGCTGAGTGACAGGCAACAGAGGGTTGTAGTCAATGGAATATATTCGAAGCTTGGACTTGTCACCAGTGGGGTACCTCAGGGATCTGTACTTGGACCCATTCTCTTTAATATTTTTATTAGTGATATTGCAGAAGGTCTTGATGGTAAGGTATGTCTTTTTGCTGATGATACTAAGATATGTAACAGGGTTGATGTTCCAGGAGGGATAAGCCAAATGACAAATGATTTAGGTAAACTAGAAAAATGGTCAGAATTGTGGCAACTGACATTTAATGTGGATAAGTGCAAGATAATGCATCTTGGACGTAAAAACCCAAGGGCAGAGTACAGAATATTTGATAGAGTCCTAACCTCAACATATGAGGAAAGGGATTTAGGGGTGATTATTTCTGATGACTTAAAGGTAGGCAGACAATGTAATAGAGCAGCAGGAAATGCTAGCAGAATGCTTGGTTGTATAGGGAGAGGTATTAGCAGTAGAAAGAGGGAAGTGCTCATGCCATTGTACAGAACACTGGTGAGACCTCACTTGGAGTATTGTACACAGTACTGGAGACCGTATCTTCAGAAGGATATTGATACCTTAGAGAGGGTTCAGAGAAGGGCTAATAAACTGGTTCATGGATTGCGGGATAAAACTTACCAGGAAAGGTTAAAGGATCTTAACATGTATAGCTTGGAGGAAAGACGAGACAGGGGGGATATGATAGAAACATTTAAATATATAAAGGGAATCAACACAGTAAAGGAGGAGACTATATTTAAAAGAAGAAAAACTACCACAACAAGAGGACATTGTCTTAAATTAGAGGGACAACGGTTTAAAAATAATATCAGGAAGTATTACTTTACTGAGAGGGTAGTGGATGCATGGAATAGCCTTCCAGCTGAAGTGGTAGAGGTTAACACAGTAAAGGAGTTTAAGCATGCGTGGGATAGGCATAAGGCTATCCTAACTATAAGATAAGGCTAGGGACTAATGAAAGTATTTAGAAAATTGGGCAGACTAGATGGGCCGAATGGTTCTTATCTGCCGTCACATTCTATGTTTCTATGTTTCTACGGCAAGATTATGTTCATACTCTGGTAATTTCTTGAATTGAATATTGTACCTCCTAACTGATCTCTCCAGAATAACTGTCTCTTCCAGAGTAACTATCACTTCTCAAACATATCTCTTACTCTGTCAACTTAATATGTGGGTTCACATTCCACTTCACCTTCTAATTCTGCTACTTCCCCATCCTGTCATTTGGCAACTATCTTCTACGCTTTCCCCCTTGTTATTGTGTTTTAATACCCCACCTCCTCTAGATTGTAAGCTTATTCAAACAGGGTCCTCATCAACCTATTGTTCCTGTTACAGTTTGTAATAGTTTGTAACATTTGTTGTTAAATCCCCCCTTTGTAATATTGTAAAGCACTGTGGAATATATAAGTACAAATAATAATAATGACAGAAGTCTTGTTTTATTCTCAAATGTGATGCCTTAGTCATTTAGTGACATCATTGATGTAAGGAGTTATTGACGCTAAGGAAGCAGGCGGCTTCATGATGACGTATAGTGATGGCAGTAAAAAAAATCATTGGTCTTTGAAGGGTTATATCTGCAAAATACATGAAGAAGCACTATTCAAATGGCCTAGCAATATATGGATGGTTGTATACAACATTTTGATACTTTGGTCTATCTAATGCCTGTTCTTTTATCCCTGTCTTTATGCATTATGCGTATGCATTACGCTTTCTTTCTAGATCTTAGATATCACACTTCAAGCCTCTGGGATGCTGGGACAGCCCTTTAAAATAGACAGATGAGAATCCTGATAAAGCTTTGCACTCAAGTCATGTTGTGCCTGAATTACGTAAAAAGGCACCATTCCTATTGACTTCCCAAACACAGCTGTCACTGTATGTTATCATTTAGTTTCTGCTGTGTCTGCTCACATCAGCCTGTTGTTATAAGTCTTTCAATCGTTTCATCATATTTCATCTCTCTCTTGACCAACCACAACAGAATATCATAGTTCTTCAGCACTTTCTAAACTCTCATTGTATAGAAGTCTGTATCTATCCATCTATATTCTCTGCATGAGCATTCAACTGTCTGTTGTACTCCATCGCCCCCTGGAGGCATCAGGAAAAACTGCTTTACACACATGTATTTTATTAATAGTTATGTATAAATAGCCAACATATTCCATAGCACTATGGAGTTTACAAAAAGATTACAAATAGTAAAACTGTTTTTAGCCAGCTTGAAAAAAAAAGTCATTTAGACTGTCTTTGAATTGATAGTCCTTACTATGCTTACTGGCTGCATATTGAACAAACCTTTATACAGTGGGAACTCGGTTTACAAATTTAATGCATTCTCCGGGACGTTTCTTATTGTGAAACATTTGTAAACTGAAACGCGGTTTCCCATAGGAATGCATTGAAAACCAATTAATCCGTTCTGGTCAGAAAAAAGTAAAAATGAGCTGGCATGGAAACCAACCCACAATGCAGAACACACAATAAAAGGCATGCAAACGATGAAGCTCAGCTCCCTACCTTTCCACAGCTTGAGAAATGCACCAAAAAAGTTCCAAAAAGTCCCAAAACAACTGCAAACAATTTCCTGAATGGCTCCAAAACTCGACGCTAAAGCCACTCCAACACCTCCACATTCGACACCACGTGCCACCCACAGGCTCCAGCATACATGGGGTGGCGCTATAAACCTCCCAGTGTAAATGTGTAAATCGAGGCATTATTTTCAATGGATTTTCATTTGTAACCTGAAAATTATGTTAACCGAGGCGTTTGTAAACCGAGGTCCCACTGTAGTCCTCTTCTGTTATTGCTGATTAACTATTAACCCATTGGGGATGGAAGCAATTGTGCAACTTCAGAACTAAAACTAAACCTAGATGTTAGCTTCATTTAATATGTCCCCATATTCCTCCCCAATATTCATTATAGTTTTTTTTTTTTTTTAAAGTAAAGTACACAGAGGGCTTTCTTTGTATATTATATCTCTCTCTCTCTCTCTCTCTCTCTCTCTATATATATATATATATATATATATACACACACATAAAACAACATTAAGTATGAATAAAATGTTATAATTGCGATAAAATGGGAAAAATAGATTTATTTTTTTTCATTTTTGCCCATGAGATTTTTTTTTTTTTTTAAATTCTTTATTTTTCTTGTGCATGTATAGACAGTTAACATTTCCCTTGCGATGCCACGATAGCATTGGCAAGTTAATTAGAGACATTTGGTTAGACATGGCATGCGATTTAAAAGCACATTTTATAATAGTATCAGGCTAAAACTGGAAAGGTTGTGTCACAAGATGAGGTACAACTTTAAACAAGAAAAAGCTTCAACATTAATAGTATGTTCTCAGTGTAAAACAGTCTTAGTCGTTTGTTTCACTAAAACATCAGCATGTTTATTTATGTCATTAAAGCATTAACATTACTATTAAGTATGAGTTAGACAAGCTATTCCACTGGTATCTGACACAGATTTTTAAGATGTTTAGGCCTATGCTAGGCAAGTGTGTCATGTCTGAGTCATGTAGCTAGTGTTAAGTTAGTTGGTGCTACTGGGTATTATGAGTGTAATAGTTTGCAGGCAAATATTCAGTGTAGTCAAACTAGCCTAGCTGTGTTATGGCTGGCCCCTATCAGTTAGACCGCCACACTGGTTTATGTGCCCCCTAGCCAATGCCCACCGAGGGGGAATCCCCGCAGTCCCTGTTATCAACGTTCGTTATTGAGCCCCCCCCCACGGTGTCCAAACCCGCAGGCAGTCCATTGAGGTCATCGATAGGCTCTGCTTCCACTTCACGGTCTCGTGCTGGAGTGAGGATAGGATCGTGGTGTGGATAGGGTAGCTCGGGCGCAAGATGTCGGTTCCATGCTTAGGTGAGTGTTTCTTCCGACCCCAGGCTTGTAGAGGGGCCCGCTCTGTAGGTCCACTGCTTCGGGCATTCCTGGGGGTCAAGCTCTGTACTCCCCCGGAGCGGGCAGGGGCCCGGAGTGGTGCTGTATGCCGCCTGCGTTTGTTTTTCCACGCTTGTTGATGCTGGAAAGAGCCTTCTTCTCTGGTGGCTCTTGGTCCCGGCAGACAGGGCGCCATGTGAAAAGGCTTTTGTACGTTTGAGTCGCTCCGATTGGGTTCTCGCTGTTTCAGCAGTGCAGTGGGAGGGGTAGGTAGCTGTGGTCTCGTGCTGAGGCGATGCCAGAACTCCTGGCAGAGTGCCTCAAGCTTGGCGTTAAACGTTTCCCTCCACTGCCGGATCTCGGGGCTTGGTCTGCTGTGCAGGGTACCCACTGCTGCGGCCATCTTGGCTTCGCCACGTGGCCTTCAGGGCTTCGTTTGCGTTGCAGTCAGATGGTGCTCTGGGTTCCCGCCCAGGTAGGCCTCTGAGAGGATTACAGTTGCTGTTCGAGATGGAGACACAAAAAATACAGATAAAGGGCTGCGCTTAAATAATAAATATATAAAAGTCCAGATGAAATAAATAAATAAATAAATAAAACAGAAGAGGTCTTATCTTGCAATGTCCGTAGTGCTTAGTCAGAGATAATAATCTTGCTTTCTGTCTTGCTTTGTGTCTTTCTTGTGGATCGTCTCTTATGTAAGATATAAAAACAAATACAAAACCACAATGGTGCAGTATATCTATATGTGTAGGGAATAAAATATAAAGGCTTGATTGCGAACTCACATATCCAAGAGCTAGGACCTGCTCTGGTATAGAAGGCGTACAGCGGTTTAGATCCCCGCTTATGGGATATAGGATGGTTTTCCTCCACGTGTTTCCTCCTTCCGTGGTGTAAAAGATGCTCAAATAAAAAGAGACAGCCAATAGTGTTCTCTGCGTAAAATTAAAATCCAATATAAAATAAAATAAAAAATGGATACTCACAAGACAGGAGCAGGTCAACTGCTCCTGGTATTTCGCACTGGTGGAATAATCCCCACCTAGGATTGCTTGGAGTCCAGCGAATGATGCCAGGTAATAATAATAATTATATGTGTATTAGAAGATAAGTAGTACAATAAAAGATTATAAAATATACTTTAATTGTAACATTACACAATATAAAAAACCATAAACGCGTTTCGCCAATCGGCGTTATCAATATGGGTAAAGGACCTGATACCTGGCAAAAGATCATTTAAATAGCATACTCAATTAACTCAAAAATTGGCGCCAAAATTTGGACAGCCAATCAGATTGCAATAAAAAATTACATACAATATAGCAATAATAAAACATAAACAATAATATGCATAGAGATAAAACAAAAAAAGACATTATAAATTATGTAATTTAACTTTAAAAACGATCAATGGTTATTGAAAGAAAACTCTGAGATGCACGGTCACATGACCGGCATCGCAACCGCAAGGGGTTATGGGGTGTGTAGTTCGACGCCGGCCGGCACTGCGCAGCCGCCGGCGTCATGAGGGGGAACTGGTAGCTGGCGTCTGTTCGCATAACGGATGCGTCCAGACGCCAGTAGGCGGAACGAGGGGCGGGTGTACTGATGACGGCGGCACGCACAAGACAGTGGCCGCCGTCATCAGGAAGAAGGTAGACGACGGCTCACACAACGCTGTGGCCGTCGTCATGGAGATGAGGCATAACAAGATCGGCAGACTATGGCCGAATGGAGGAGGGGGGAAAAGGAACAAATAGCATAAAAAAACGTATATAAGTGAAATAAAATAAAATAAAATAAATGGAGCTAATTGTTAAAAAAATAAAATAAAAAAATGAAATAAAATAAAAACAGGATTGTGTGAGAAACAGGCAGGTTAAAAACAACATCATACCTGTTCTGCTGAATAATAAGAGTAGGCATGGTGAGAGAACAGAACAATAAAATACAATAATAGATAATATAAAAACATATGATTATAAAAAATATGATTTTAAAAAATTGGATTATAAAAAATTAAATAAATCAAAATCAACATTCAGACCATAAGGTGCAAGAGTTTGGAGTGTATAAACCCACTCCATCTCTTTTTTGCCTAGAATATTTTTAATATTTCCACCCCTCCATGGAACCATACATTTCCCTATAGCAATGCATTTAAGCATTTTAGGGTCTTTATTATGTATAATAAAATGTTTGGATACTGAGTAATTTAGGTATCCATTCTTGATATTTCTGCAGTGTTCGCTCAGACGTATTTTTAGACACCTTGTGGTCATTCCAACATATTGGAGGCCGCAAGGGCATTCAAGCAGATATATTACATTTTTCGTGGAGCAATTAATAAAATCATTTATTTTGTAAACCTTGTTTGTCCTTTTTGATGTAAATTCCGTTACTTTGGGTGGAACATCAGGATTGGCGGATTTACACACAATGCACATTTTGCACTTGCAAAAACCTTTAATTTGTGGGAAAAAGGATATAGGGGGATTTTAAAAAAAAGTTTTTTCTCTTGTAAAATTATTGGTCAGAATAGATTTAAAATTTTGGGCACCTCTAAATATAATATTGGGGCGTTCAGGTATAATTTTGTTTAGTATTTCGTCTTGTTTAAGAAGGTGCCAGTGTTTTTTAATGATTTTTTTGACATTATTACTTTTATTATTAAAGTTAAGAATAATCGGTAAGGGCATTTCTGTGTCCGTAGTTTTGGGTTTGTATTTTAGGAGTTCATTCCTATCTTTCCCTTGGATCTCCTTAATTGTAGTTTCTAATTCTGATTTTGAATAGTTTTTTTCGACAAATTTATCTTTTAAAAGTTTCGCTTGTATCTCAAAGTCTATAAGTTCTGAACAATTTCTTCTCAATCTAAGGATTTGACTTTTAGGGGCGCTGTCTAACCATGGTTGGTAATGACAGCTATTTTTGTCAATAGCAGTATTAACACAAACCTTTTTAAAGAAAGTTTTTGTATGTACCATACCATTTTTTATAAAAATATCAAGGTCTAAAAAATTGATTTGTTCTCTACTGTATTCGCAGGTGAGTATTATACCTCTATTATTCAGGTTGAGGTTAGTGATAAAAGAATTTAGAGCTTCTTCAGTACCATTCCAAATAAAAAACAGATCATCAATATATCTGAAAAAGGAAACCAGGTTCGCTCTCCACGCATGATTACCAAAAATGGCTTGTGACTCCCAGTCGGCCATAAACAAATTTGCATAGCTGGGAGCAAACCTGGTCCCCATGGCAGTGCCTCTTTTTTGCAGATAAAAGGAGTCTAAAAACCAAAAGTAATTATTGTTTAAAATAATATTAATACCTTCTAAAATGACTCTGAATTTGAAAATGAGGATCATTTTTTAGAGATCCGAACCAATCGCACTACACTAGCCCAAACACCTCACCCCTCACGCCCCAAAAAAAGGATTTTAAATTCAGAGGAAGAAGAAGTGGTAGACGCGAACAAAAGAGAAAGACTAGAAAGATAGCACCTTCTCCTAACGTAACTAACGGAGGCATTTTTAATCTGTCACAAAAGATTTTAAACAGTACACACCTAGCGGTTTTAACTAAAGGTCTTAAGTTTGCCCCTACTAATACTTTTAAACCTTTTGAAGCTTTTATTGATGTGAATAAATTTGTTCGGAAAGCAACTTTAAAAAGATTCTTCATGGAAAAACCCGAACCAAATGTCACCCTAACTCCATCAATATCTTCATGTAATAATGATATTATTAATACCTCTCTTAGAAAGAAATCTACTTTCTATCCTGCTCACTATAAGTCTGCTCCCCTCACTATGTTTGAAAAACTTGTCACAAAAGATTTAGAAAAAATCAAAAACAACAAATATGACCCCCACAATTTAACCCATTTAGAAAAGATAGCTTTGAAAGAACTCCAAAATGATGAAAACATTGTCATCAAACCAGCGGATAAAGGTGGAGGAATAGTTATCCAATCAACTCATATGTACATAAATGAGGCCCTTAGACAATTAAATGACGTTAATGTATATGAAAAACTCACAGCAGACCCTATAAAACAAATCCAAAATGTTTTTATCGAATTTTTAAATAAAGGTGTAGAGCAAGGTATTTTAAACAAACATGAATTTAACTTTTTAAATAACCAACACCCCATAACACCTGTAATTTATTTCCTCCCGAAAATCCATAAAAGTGAAACCCTCCCCCCTGGAAGACCTATCGTATCAGGCATAGATTCCCTTTTATGTAATCTTTCGCAATATATAGATATCCTTTTACAACCCTCAGTCAAACTCATGAGATCATACCTTCAAGATTCCATGGCTCTTTTAAATTTTTAAAATAATTTTACATGGAAATCTAGTTTTATATTGGTGACATGCGATGTTCAGTCAATATATACGATCATACCTCATGATATAGGCTGTCAAGCTGTAAAAGATATTTTAACCAAAGAAGGGAAAATTGTCAATCAACAAATAGAGTTCATTTTAGAAGGTATTAATATTATTTTAAACAATAATTACTTTTGGTTTTTAGACTCCTTTTATCTGCAAAAAAGAGGCACTGCCATGGGGACCAGGTTTGCTCCCAGCTATGCAAACTTGTTTATGGCCGACTGGGAGTCACAAGCCATTTTTGGTAATCATGCGTGGAGAGCGAACCTGGTTTCCTTTTTCAGATATATTGATGATCTGTTTTTTATTTGGAATGGTACTGAAGAAGCTCTAAATTCTTTTATCACAAACCTCAACCTGAATAATAGAGGTATAATACTCACCTGCGAATACAGTAGAGAACAAATCAATTTTTTAGACCTTGATATTTTTATAAAAAATGGTATGGTACATACAAAAACTTTCTTTAAAAAGGTTTGTGTTAATACTGCTATTGACAAAAATAGCTGTCATTACCAACCATGGTTAGACAGCGCCCCTAAAAGTCAAATCCTTAGATTGAGAAGAAATTGTTCAGAACTTATAGACTTTGAGATACAAGCGAAACTTTTAAAAGATAAATTTGTCGAAAAAAACTATTCAAAATCAGAATTAGAAACTACAATTAAGGAGATCCAAGGGAAAGATAGGAATGAACTCCTAAAATACAAACCCAAAACTACGGACACAGAAATGCCCTTACCGATTATTCTTAACTTTAATAATAAAAGTAATAATGTCAAAAAAATCAT